CACGGGGCTCGTACCCTGGTTCCCAGCCTTTCAGGCCTGTGCACCAGCCCCTCTGCCCACGCCCCAACCCGGCCAGGGCGGGCGGCCTGAGGGCTCTGAAGGGCGGGGCTTTTAGAGGCAGGCCCAGGGGAGGGTCCCAGTGTCAGGGTCCTGGTCTCCTCTGATTGGCCGGTGCAGGGGGCGGGGGAGGGGCCCTTAGTCAGTGCAGCTGGGCCTGAGGTCCACCCCTCCCAACTGTTCTTGTGCGCCTGCAGCTGACACACCACCGAGGCCTAGATGTCACCCCTGGGGGAGGAAAGGCCGGGGGTGGGGGGTCTGAACTGAATGACCAGAAACCTGCCCTGCGGGGAGGAAAGGCCACCTAGGGGCAGGGTCCTTGTTCCCCCGTCGCTGGGCACCCGGGCTTCCCGCCCCGGTGACCTCCCGTACCTGCCCATTGTCCTTGCTCTGCCCCTGTCCAAGGGCCAGGCTCACCAGAGGTCCCGAGGACAGCGGGGTCGGACCAGAAATGTACCCCCTGCGGGGACCAGATCGGCCCCGGAGGTTCCAGTGTCCTCTAGGTTTTTAGCCCAAAGACACGTGTCGTGTGGGCACCCTCGACGCCCCGGAGGACCCCAGCCCTGAGTCTCATCCAGCCTGCGCGTGGCACGGGGTGGCGCCCTGCCCCACATGTGGGCCGACGTTGGTCACACCTCCCCTAAAAAGTCAGTCGCCTTTGTGACAATGTCTCCAAGTCTGGCAACGTTTCCGCATTTTGCGCTGTTCTGCGGAAAGGCTGAGAGAGGCAACCTGGAGGCTGTGTGGGCTGTGACCTTCCCTCCACCTGGCTGCCTGCGTGGGACCGCCCAGGCAGCCCCAGGCTCCGGAGGAACCCTTTCCCCGCCCCTCTGCGTTCCCCTAAGCCAATCCAAGTGGCTGAGAACTCACCGTGCAGAACACAGAGCGTGCAAAATACAGTTTCCTCTCTGGAAACCAGTGCTTCCGAAACAGCGCACATTGCCTCCCCCGAAAGTCACAGCAACAGTGACCGTGAACAGAAATGAGCCGCCGGGTTGCTGCCTGGTGCAAGAAGTGCACAGTCTCTTGATAGGGCCTTTATTCTTATTTTTCTCAGTTCTTGTCGCTGCGTCAACAGACACAGAATGTTCCTCTTCAAATTAAAAATAAATTCAAAACCACTTAAAGAATACCCTGTTGATGCAAAATTAGACAGGCCTAAGAGACATCTAAGAAAAGGTACATGTAATATCTTTCAACAGTTTTATTAAAGCTGAATCACCTCATACTGTAGTTTAAACATTTTACTGATTGATCGTTGTTTCCCTTTAAATTCAAAATTCACTCTGCTTCTGTGGTGACAATGTCGTTTCATCACCCAGAACTCTAAGGGCCGTTCCGGGACCTGGTGGGGGCAGGCGAGGCCAGCAGTCAGCTGGGCCTGGGACCCTGTCCTGGCCTCAGTGTCACCAGAGGGATGCCGTCTCTGGTGGCCATGTCCCCGCCTCCGGGTGCTGGGCAACCGCTCACTGTGGGTCTGGGAATCTGGCCACCCTGACCCGGGACCCACAGGCCGGCCCTCCTTGGTTTGCACTCCTCACGGCTTCCCCCGCTGGGAGGAGGAGGAGCAGAGCCGGGCACCCGCCCCTGACCGCCCAGGGGCTGACCCCTCCCCCTCCCCCCACCACCACCAGTGGACAAGTCCTGCCCGGAACAGGACGCTGCCCAGGAAAGCAGAGGCCCAGGCCCCGGGGACATCCCCCCTGCACTGAGGAGCAGCCCTTCAGGGTCCCTCTCTGCAAGGCTTTTCCCTCCCCCCGGCTGCCCCCAGGGCGGAGGGCCACACGGGCCAGCTCCCTGCCTGGTCTGCTGATGAGACTGTTGGCGCTCTGTCCGGGTTCCCTCTGTGTGGCTGCTCTCACGGCCCAGGTCACTGGGCTGCCTGGTACCCAGAGCGCTGGGCAAGCATCGTGTAGCACATGACGTCACTGCAGGTGACGTGGACGAGATCGGCTGGTCCTACAGGGGCCAGCACAGCGGTGGCCCTGCAGGGAAGCAGGTGGACCGAGGGGGGGGGCCCTGCCTGCCTGCCTCCCCTCCCCTCCCCTGCCCTCCCCTCCCTCCTGGGCTGTGGTTGGTCCGGCCACGGCCCGCGTTTCCAGCTCGGCTGCGGCTGTGGGTGCCGAGGGGCAGCTGTGGGCGCTTCTGCTCCCTGCCCCTTCTCGCCGCCCCTCAGCGGGCGCTGGGCGAGCAGGCTCCGCGGCCCAGCAGCAGGTCGGCGGTCTGCGTCCTGCATGGGGCCCTCGCCGGACCTGGGTGGGTGAGGGTCGGCGTTCAGCCCGGGCTGGGCAAGCCCACAGGGACCCAGGCCCCTCGAGGGGCAGTGGAGGGCTGCGGTGGCGCTGTGTCACTCCAGGGACAAGAGGCCGGACGGCAAGCGGCTGCCCCGGTGCGAGGGCGGGGACCGAGGACAGTGGCGCTCTCATCCGATGCTGGTAAAGCACCGGCCGGAAGCAGCGGCCGAGGCTGTGATCCCCATGTTGGCCGGCAGGTGGCGCCGTCTGCCTTTGTCACCGAGGAAAGGCTGGTGACACAGCCTGACACCCTAAGCCTCACTCCCTGCGTGGTCCCAGGGTGTCCCAGGGCCGGGAGCTGGCGCGGTAGCCCTGTCGGACCGGCACTTGCCCTGAGTGGGTTCACGGGGAAGGCGACGCTGTCCCGACGGCACCCACGGGGCTGTCCCGACGGCACCCACGGGGATGTCCGGGCCCCGGTGGCCAGCAGCCTGTCCACGGCTCCTCCAGGACCCGACGGGGACTGTGCTGTCACCTCCCCTTGGACTCTACGCGGGGACCCGGCCACCCCTCCACGCATCGGGCTGTGCGGCGACCTCCGGGGCCACTCAGCAGGTGCTGCCGCCCCCCAGGGACGAGCCGTGTGGGGCCCAGTCTCGCGGCGTCGGGCTCGCGAGCCCCGATGTTTGATCATTCTGGGGCCCCCGTGGCACCAGGCGGCGGTCCTGGCTCTTTGTTCCTTAGCTCGGGGTCCCGGGCACCCGGAGTCCAACGGACACGTGAGAACAGAACGAGGTCCCGGGGGCAGAGGGCAAGGCTTTCGCCGATGGGCCCACGTGGGCGTGATGCCAGCCGGAGGGGCAGGCGGAGCCCCGGGCCCTCCAGGCCCCGCAGCCGGCGGCAGCGGCGGCAATGATGCACCGAGGTTCGTCTCCTCACAGCCCCCCGCGCTGTCTGGGGGGGAAGCCCAGCTCCTTTCTGCCTCGGAGTTGGGCGGAAGGGCGGGCGGTCGGTGGGCTTTGCCGGGTCGTCTTCCCTCGTCGCCCGTGGGCTTCGCACTGACAGCTACGACCCGGGGACGCGGGCTGGGGGGCCGAGGCCGTGAGAGGTGGTGTCTGTGTGTCTGTGTGTGTGTGTGTGTGTGTGCAGGTGACGGAAGGACAACCTGCCCCCCGCCCCCGCAGGACACCCCAGCAGACGTCACAGGTCCCCCGTGGGCGCCACCACCGAGAAGCCCTGCCTTTGGGTCACGTGCTGCAGCGCTGGCCGGGGCTCCGGCAGGTTTCCGGGCGGACACGGCGTCTCTGTGCCTGGTCTCCGCACGGGAGGGCTCGCTGTCCTCAGGCAAGGGGATGGGGCGCCCTGGGCGTGCGGGCCCGGGAGGGCCAGCTGTCACCTCTGCAGGTGGCTCAGCCTCTGGGACTGCACCACCTCATGTGCAAAACAAGGGTGGTGGGAACGACGGCTCTGGGGTTGGAGCAACTGAAACTCCCCCCAGGCCGTGTGAGTCCAGGGGTCGTCAGGCGGCTGCCCAGGGAGGGCCCGTGGGCACAGGAGGTAGAAGGTAGGGAGGGCCCTGGGGAGTGGAGGCCGCGGCTCTGAGTCCGGCGCTGTCAGCAGACCCCCAGGGCGAGGCGCAGCCCTCGTCCCCGGGCGCAGTCTGCCCCCGAGATCCGAGTTCTCCTCCCGGGAGGGGCGTGGAGCGCAGTCCAGGCGTCCCTGGGACACGGCAGTCTGGCGGCCTGTGCCCCCCCACAGTCCGTGGAGACACTGGCCAGGTGGGCGGGGGGCTCTGGGGGGAGCAGGGAGCACGGAACGAGGAGAAAATTAAAACGAGGAACAGTGACCCACGAGTGCGGTGAAAATGCCGTTTTCCCGTTTGCTCGGCTGGAAGAAAAGGCTCACACATGTGTGCAACACGTGAACGCCTCTCCCCGGGGACCCCGGGCGCGGGGCGCAGGCCCAGGGCAGATGCTGGAGTGCAACCCACTGTGTGCCCCCGGCCAGGCTGCAGGGCGCACTCGTCACAGCCCCGTCGGCCGCGGCAGCAAGTGGGCGGGCCTCTCTGGGGCACAGACTCGGTGGCGGGTCTCCTGCCCACGTGAGTCCGTCCCGGTCGGGCGTGGGAAACACGCCAGCGTCTGGTCGCACGGCCTGGTCGCGTCCGTGGGGCTGGAGGCCAGCGTGAACCATGCCGCGGTCGACGCCTCCGCAGTTGCTATGAGACGGCGAGGCTGGGCCGGGCAGGCGCCGCGTCCACAAACAAAGACCGTTCTGAGCTGAGGCGTCTCCCTGCTGTGGTTGTGGACGGAGGTCCCGGCTCCTCTGGGTGCTGGGGGCCGCGCGGTGGAGCCGAGGGTCCCGGGTCGGGGGCGGCCTCCTACTCGCAGAGGAGGGTCTGGGACCCGCAGGCCGGGTCCTGTGGGGGCGAGGGGCGCTGAGCTCCGAGCGCACGGACCGACAGGCAGCGCGTGGGCCGGTCCCGGGGGGCCCGCCGACCACGCCGACTCGCTCTGCACCCGGGCGCCTCCCGGGACGGGCCTCCTGAGCTCCGGGGGGCGCCCGGTCAGCCCCTCCCCGCCATGCTGGACAGGGCCCGGTGTCTGCGAGTCACTTTCTAGTGCGTCCTCACTCAGGGTCGTGCACAGCAGACCAAGACGGTAAAAAGCAAGTTGGGACTGACTTTTCCCCACACGGATCACAGTCAGCTCATTCTTCATGGCGGCCCACACTTTCTGCCAGCCCCCGGGTCTCCCCAGCCGTCCTCAGCCGCTGCGTGAGAGACGCTGCAGCGATGGCCCACGGCCCCAGCTGTGGAACCGGTTCGAGTAACGAAAGGTTTTTCCCTGTCTTCTGCTCGGGCTCACGGGTCCCGATCTGTCTCCACTTCCTTAGGAGGGGGCTAAGATGGTGACCAATTCTGGTTCCCTTGCTCACAGAGCTTGCACCCAGGTGAGGGGGAGCGGGCGGCAGGAAGGTGCCGAGGGGAGGGGACCGAGTGGGGCACCCCTGGGCCTCCACAGACGGGCGCCACACCGGGGGCTCTGACCGGACCGGAGGGAAGCCCACCTGCTCCAGGGCCCCCCTCGGGGCAGAGTCGGGGTCCTGGCATCTCCCTCCTCCCGACGGGGAGGCCGCCGCCCCGTCTCTCTCCGTGACCGGCAGCGGGGACTTGGAGTCACAGTGTGTCCTGGGGACAAGCACACACGCCAGTCGGCACCACCATCGCCCCGGAGAGCCATGCGTGCCCCTCACGTGTGCGTCACCGCCACCCCTCAGGCGTCATCCTGCCCTTCACACCCTTCACGCCGGGACGCGAGGGCCCTCGGTCCTGGGGCACGCCACCGTCTGACACGGTTCTTGGCTCAGACAGCAGTACGTTGTCAGTGCAAAAAAGACAGAAGCGGCGTTCGGTGACGACACCAATGGTGTTTGCACACGCGGAACCGGACACACACACCGATGTCAGTTCACAAGTTCTGTCCTGTTACAGGTTGGTAGCGGTCGCCTCAGAGCAGGAGGTGAGTGTGAGTGCACGTGAGTGTGCATATGAGTGAATGTGTGTGTGTGTGTGTGAGGATGCACGTGTGTGAGTGTGCATGCGTTCGGGAGGCCGACAGTCCACACCGGCCTCGGAGGAGCCAGCAGCACCGTCACCGGCTCCCCGCCCCCCACCCCATGGGCTGGAACTGAACTCCCGCCACCTGCAGGGGGCACTCACCACCAGCAAATGGCCGTCCAGGTGAGACCCGCTAGGACGCAGACCAGCAGGGCACCCAGCACGATGGACACCAGGGATGCCCTCGGGAGCCTCCCGGAGTCTGGAGTGAGAATGTGCGGTGAGAGAGCCCCCCGGTCAGAGGGCAGCGGCCCACGTGCCCGAGGCCGCCTGGGTCCCCGCCTGGCTGCCGCTGCGTCGACAGCAGGACCCCGAGGGGCAGGGACCTGCCCGGGAGCAGCGACTACACGGACAGGGTCCCTGAGCGCGAGGGCCAGGGGCAGCCTGCAGGACGGATGAGACCCCTGTCCTTCCCAGGGGACACGTCGGCCGTCCTGCAAGGACAGCAGACACGCTTCCTCCCCACCTGGGGCACCGTGAGCCCCATCCCAGGGACCCCGGAAGGTGACGGGGGCCAGGGGACAGCAGGGCACTCATTCCAGGTGCCCTGGGGTCACTGCCGGCCAAGCGGGCAGAGGAAGCCGTGAGAACCACCTCGTGCCTGCGGCTTACCAGACGCTGATCCCGTGCACATGGCACCCGGGAGACGCCGTGGACACTTTGGACCAAGTGGACAGTGCTCGGAGGTCGTTAACACGGCAGCCCCGGGAGGGTCTGGAGCGAGGCCAGTTCTGGCAAGAACACTCCCCACCCCCGCACTGAGCCCTGCCCACGGCTGCCTTTCCTTCCGAGGCTGCTCTCGCCCCCCGCCCCCACGGGCTGGGAATCCATCCCCGGTCTCTGCCGGGTCTGGGGTGAAGCTCAGCTCTGCACGAGGCCTCTCGCCCCGGCTGCAGCAGTGTGAATAAAGTCTGTCTCTCTGTTTTAACCAGTATCTGCGCATCGTTTTTCGTTCACAAGACCCAGAAGCCATGTTATGAATCCGACCTCTGTGACTGAGAGGCTGTGTGACCCTGAGCAAGTCGCTCAACCTCTCTGTTCCGTGCACGGGATTCAGCATTGTGCCCAGCCCACAGGAGGCGAGGCAGAGCCCAGAGCAGTGCCTGGCACAGAGGGTCCCTCGGCAGCTCTGTGTCTATGGCCCAGTCTCGGCTCACGTAGTGACCGATGGCCTCCTGCGCCCTCCCCGCACTGGAGACTGCAGCCAAGTGGACACACACATGTCACCAGCCCCCGCCCAGCTCGAAGGGTCACCCCGAAGTGTGCGACACTGCCCCCCGGCCAGGGCACGTGGGGTGTGGCCTCACCGACGCAGGTCCTCCCGTCATCCCCCAGCACGTGCGGGTCCGGGCACTCGCAGCGGAAGCTGCCCTTGGTGTTCCGGCAGCGGGCCGGCGCGCGGCAGGGGGGCTCCGGCCCGGCCCTGCACTCGTCAACGTCTGCACAAACAGCACAGAGGCAGGACGCCTGAGGGACCGGCCGCGGCCCGCCCCCCACCGCAGCTGTGGTGGCCCCTTCCCCATGGAGCCCCGCTGCCCTGCTCTGTCCCCACCCAGAAAGAAGGGGACTGTCCCCTCCCTGTTGAGAAGCTGAGCGTCCCCAAGGCCCCTCCTGCTGACTGAGACCCTCCTAGGAGCACTGGCCTCCAGTCCCCGTTCCGACCACCCTGGCCAAGCCCCTCCTCCGGCCGTTCCTCTGGCACGGACACCCCCCAGCCTGACTCTTCCCAGCCACACACGGTGTCTCCGTGGGCTGTGGGGGGCTCTGAGGACACGGGGTGCGGTCAGGATGCCCCCGCCAGGCAGGGAGCAGGGTCCAGTGGCTCTCAGGATGCTGCTGCCTCTGGTGGTGACCCAGCACTGATGACACCGGGGACAGAACCGGCACTCACGAGCCCGTGATGGGCGTCAGCACCCCGGAGCCAGAGGGGAGCCGTGTCTCCCTCCACACAGATGCCGCCGAGAGGCACTGCACCCCCAGGGAACAGGGAGGCCCCAACTGCGCCCGCCGTGGGGACGAGGCAGGTCCCCTGGGGACGGGAAGGCCCCGGCGGCCCCTGGGGCGCGGGGGCAGCTGGGCTCATCAGCAAGCGTGAAGCTCCAAGTCTCTGTCCCTGGAAGTTGCCGCCACCCAGGGGCGCGGGGCGGTGGGCACAGGGCGGGCAGTGCTGCTGTGGGGCAGTGCCGTCCAGGCCCGGTCCGCCCCGTCCAGCCCCCACCGCACTGGGGCCCCTGTCAGGCCCCTCCCTGCAGCGGTCGCCGTGGCGGCCGGGACAGGTGCCGCAGGCAGAGTCCTTCTGTCCCTTTCTGGAGGCCAGAGGTGCAGCGGGGCCACCCAGGCTGCGAGGGCCCCATGGGGGGCCCCCTCCCCACTTCTGGGGTGCCCCTCAGTGGGTCAGCACCAGCCGCTCTCACGGGGAGTCCTGAAGCGTTAAGGGACCAGTGTTTCCCAAATGTCCAGAGGAACGTTCTGTCCTGTGGCTGCTCCGCAGGGTGACTCAGGAACCAGGCCCTCCCTGCAGCTCTGAGTGGCGACCCCCACACCTGCCCCCCCACCTGGCGCCCCACCTGGCGCCCACACCTGGCTCCCACACCTGCCCCCCCACCTGGCTCCCACACCTGCCCCCCCACCTGGCTCCCCACCTGGCTCCTCACCTGGCTCCTCACCTGGCTCCCACACCTGCCCCCCCCACCTGGCTCCTCACCTGGCTCGTCACCTGGTTCCCCCACATGGATCCCGTACCTGGCCCCCCACCGGACTCCCCAGCCAGCCCACGCAGCTGAGGGGAGCCAGAAGGGGCATCTCAGGGAGCTGCCCACAGGCCGGCCCACTCCCCACCACAGGCCCACGCACGGCTGTCGGGAAGACGGGGGGCGGGCCCCGTGTACCAGGGACAGGGCACAGGCCGGGAGACAAGCTCGCCCTCGGCTGGGTTGCTCCTGTTCCACCGGTTCTTCCCGTGGAAACGCCTCTGTGCCCCTTCTTTACAGGACTTGGCTCCAGAAGCCGTTCCCCACGGCCTTCCCCACCAGTGGCCGGCTGGCTGACTGCTGGTCCCCGCGCGCACCTGCGCCACCCCGGGGCCTGTTGACGGGGCTGTCTCGATGCTCCACGGCCTAGACCGGTGTCCCCGGGGGCGTGGCTGGCTGAGGGGGGAACCCCGGGGTCCCAGCGCTCGTGGGAGGGGCCTGTGCTCGGGAGCACCTCCCGGCAAACCACGCTTGTTTTTAACCCGTGTTTGGGGAACGCAGACTGGGGTCAGCCGTGAAAGGACCCCTGCGAAGCGACTGACCTGAGCAAACCGGGGGCCGGGAGTCCCAGCCTTGGGGGGTGCACTTGAGCTGCTCTGGGCCTCGGAGCTCGAACCCGTGCCGGCAGGAGTACGCCAGCACGCGCCGCCCGGCCTCGCCGCAGAGCACGAAGTCCCCGTTCTCCACGCCCCCGGGGAAGCCGCAGGCGTCCCCTGCGCAGGGTGGGGGGGAGGCGGGCGCGGTCACGCTCAGCCTCTCCCCGCGCCGCCGCCCGCCCCTCGGGCTCCCCGGGGGGCGGGGAATCCCACCCTGCGCATGCGCAGTGTCCCTCCCGTCAGCCAGCCCGCCGCCCGCCGCCCGCGGGACCCCACGGCTCCCCCGTTCCTCTCCCGCTCCCCCGTGAGTCCCCTCTGGCCACGCCCCCCCCACGCCACAGACGGCTCTTACCGGGGCTCTTACTGGGACGGCTCCGTCCCAGCCCATCCCGCCCCGGCTGCCTCCTCGGGGCCTGCCTGCAGCCCAAGTCCCCAGAAGCCCCTCCCGCCCCAGCGTCCCGGCCCCCGCCCCGGCCCAGCGGTGCGTCCCTGCCTGGAATCTGGGCGAGTCTCACAGACCGGACCTGTCCTTCCTGGGCGCCCGCGCCCTGGGTGTTGTCTGGTCTCTCCCCGTTAAATACGGTCTGATCTCTACAGACAGCGCGTGCACGAAAACCCCAAATTTGTACCTTCTTCCTGGGGTTCCCCTCCCCTGCACCTCCAGCCCGGGGAGGCAGCCCGCACCGACCTGTCCTCAGGAGCTGCCTGCCTCATCCCGGCCACCCCTCTCGGAGCACACCGGCCCCAGTTGGCGGGGACGCGGAGGGAGGGTGGGGGGGGATACACGCCAGTTCCCACGGGCCTCTGCTCCGTCCGCCCACAGCAAACCCCGAAGGCACCCGGTGGCCCTGCTGTCAGCACAGCTCTGTCCTTGGACCCTCCGACTGCCCCACCTTCCTCTCCTGGGGACGTCACCGCAGCTCCCGGGATCTTCCTGCGCTGGCCCCGCCCCGCCCACGTGCGCCCCAGCGGCTGTCCTGTGCAGAGCGACAGGCAGGCGTCTGGTGGGGCCCAGGAGGCCTGGCGGGACTTGGCCGGGCCACTTCTCCGGTCTCGTCTCCCACTCCTCACCTCCTCCTCCTCCTCGCCCCCGGCCCGCCTGCCGGGAGCCGAGAGCCCCAGGCGCGGTGCGGCCTCCCGGGCAGCCCTTCCAGTGGACGGAAACGTGGGGCCTCTGGTGGGGTCTCTGGTCTCCTGTCTGTCCCCCCCCCGCCCCGCCCCAGCCACCTCTGCGACTGACCGTTCACTGAGCACCAACACAGCCTCACGGGGCAGTGTCTTCTCGCAGGGAGGGGCCCGGCGGGGACAAGTCCTCCTCACCGTGGGGGACGCAGCCGAGGGCGCAGGCTGGGCCTCCCTGTTATTTCCCCCAAATGCACCACCTCAAACCCGCCCCTTCGAGCAGCCCGGCGTCTGCTGTGGGCCCCGCGTAGGGAGCGGGAGGCGGCGGGAGGCTGGCGGTCACCTGGGGGAGCCGCCTCACGCCACGCGTCCAGGTTCAGGCCGGGGATGTCCTCGCACGGCCGGAAGTCCCGGGGGAACCGCGCCGCTCGGAAGGCGTCGGCGGGCACGCGGGCGAGGCCGGAGTTGTCGCAGACGACCCTGGACAGCGAGTGCTTCTGCAGCTCCCGCCGCTGCGCCTCGGTGAACACGCCGCCGTGCTCCCACCAAAACCTGCGCCGGAGAGGGCGCGCACACGCAGGTGACGAGGAGCCGCCGCCAGACCCGCACCACCCCCCGCCCCCCCCCGCGCCCCGGAAGCCCACGAGGCGTAAGGCCGCGGTGTTGGGTGAGACGATGACTCTTCCCCACTCGACACGCCGCCCCGTGGAGGTCAAGGGCGGGCGTGTGCGGGGCGGGGAGGCCGAGGCGCCCTCCGCAGGGAACGTGGATGCTCTGCAGGACATCCGAGGACGTGGGCGCAGCGGGGACGGAGGAGAAAGGGCCGGCGCGCGGGGAAGGCCGAGAGAGAGGCGGGACCCCCCAGCCCGGCGACTTCGACCCCTGCCCCACACGCACCGGTCCCCGTCCCGCAGGGCCTTCATCTGCCTCCCGACGATGCAGGCGAACAGGGGGCCGGTCCTCGCGCCCGGCAGGGGGTGCTCCACCAAGCCGCCCAGCCAGACGTCCACGTTGTCGGGGTGCTGGTACAAGGCCAGGATCCTCTCAGCCACGTCCCCGTCGGTGACGGCGCGGCTCAGGTCAGCCCGGGAGCGCAGCCGGGGCAGGCCGCAGAACGCCCTCCAGGCGTTGTACCCTGCAAGGCACGCCTGCGCTCGCTCCCGCGTCCGCGTCCCCCGAACCCCTCACAGACTCTCTGTCTGGGCCTCAGCCTCCCGTCCGCACGGTCCAGCCGCAGGGGAGAGCACGGCACCGCCCGGCTGCGTGGACGTGCCGGGACACTCCAGACTCAGGGGCTGACCCCTGCACGACCGCAAACAAGCCAGGCGGGCAGCAGGCGGGCTCACTGCGCATACAGGGAGGTCGACCAGATGGCTGAACCCCAGGGGCCTCTGGGGGCATGGCCATGGTGGCCAGTGGGGATGGTGTGGGTGGGGAGAGTGGAGGGGGGCCTGGGAAGGGGGTCCTCAGCCACACCCGTGGCCAGGAGATGGGGCCAGCTGCATAGGGGTGGCCGGAGGCCTCCGGGAGCCGCCATGGTCTGAGGACCCGGCCTCTTAGGTGGACGGACAGGAGGGCTTGCAAAGCCAGTTTCCAGGAAGTTGACAAAAGACTGGCAGAAACATTTCATGTCAGACTGGACTCTGTGAGAGCAGGCCTCTCACTGGGTGGCTCCTCCAGGGCCGGGACCGGGACCAGGACCAGAACCAGAACCAGAACCGGGCTGGCAAGGGGACCCAGTCGGGCGCTGACCTGGCAGGCCGTGGTCCCGGCCCCGCTGCAGGTTCAGCGACGCCAGGTCGAAGGTGCCCTCGCTGGACAGCACGAACAGCCTGTCGGTCAGCTCCTCGTTCATCAGCTGGGCCGGCACCTGCAGCTTGGCCGGCTGGACGAGGAGCCCCCGCAGCAGGGGGTCCACGCCGCCTGGAAGACACCCGGAGGAGGTGACCGGGCTCCTCCCGGCTCCGCGGGACAGCAGCACCCCCCACCCCGAGTGTGGACGGCACTCGTTCCCGACGGGCGTCCGTCCTGAGTCCACGGTTCGCCGTGTGCGGCCCCATCCGCAGCCTCCCAGCCCTCTCAGGGCGCGTCCTGCTGCCTGGACCGAGGGGACGGCCCGCGGGTGTGGGGAGGTCGGGCCTTGGGACCGAGGGGCCCCGCAGGCACTCAGGTTTTTCCGCAGCGATCACACCGCAGCCGGAGGAAGCGTTTGCGGATCCCTAAGGTCGGTAACGGAGGGCACTGGGCGTGGCCGAGGGAGCGGGAGGGTGCGTCCAGGCAGCGCACGCCCTTCCCCTCCAGCGCGCCGGCCGTCCCCACGGGACCCCGCAGGACACGGGCCGGAGCCCCGACGAGCACCGCTCTGCTGCCTCCCCGTCACCCGGACCCTTCGCGCCCACAGCACAGGCAGGAAGTCACACTGTGCCTCGGCCTCGGTGGGCCGCCTGGGGGCCCCGGCTGAGCCCTGGCCTCCCTCCCGCAAGGCGTGTGTGAGCGTTTCCTTGGGGACAAAGCCGGTGCGGTGACTTCTCCGCCCCCCACAGCTGCGTGGCGCCAAGCCTTCGGAGACAGGATAGAAGCTTCTGGACAGACAGACAGAGAACCCAGGAAGGAGAGAAAGGAGGGGCGGGGGTGGGGAGTGTGGAGAAAGCCCTTCGAACACGTCGCCCAGAACTGAAATGGTTTTCCAAACACGTCACCCCCAAACGCAACCCGGCCAGGACACTCAGAAGCCACATGGCGCCAGCCTGGCCGTCGGACAGACGAGGGGTCTGACGGTGATGTGGCTGCGTTCGCCGTGCGCAGTGTTCGCCGTGCGCAGTGTTCGCCGTGCGCGGTGTTCGCCGTGCGCGGTGTCGGGCCCCACTGCTGCTGCGGGTGTTGGGACGGTGGGCGGGGAGCTGACCCGGGCCTGGGCACGCTCACCTGCGACCGTGGAGCGCTCAGAGACCGGAGAGGGGTGTTTCTGACAAACGGCTTCCCCTTTAGACGCTCTGAGCACACGTGTTCTCTCCACAGACACCGGTGGCCGGGCAGCGCCCAGCCGAGCGCCCCGGTGAGCAGGGGGCCCCTCGGGGGGCTGCGCGGGGCGGGGCTCGGTCTGCAGAGAGAGGCCGGCGGGGGTGGGGGGGGGAGGGGGCACACACCTTCCTTGAGGAGCCTCCAGGGGCTGAAGAAGGCGTCGCGCAGCAGCAGCGGGGGCAGGCGCTCCTGGAAGCGGGCGTCCAGCCGCCGCACCAGCGGGTGCACCGTGGCGTGGCCGAAGCGGAAGGCGGCCGTGGAGAACACGTTGGACACCGTGGGGTCCACGGTGGGGTCGTAGCCCTCGTAGCGGCCCACGTGCTGCTCAAAGGCCTCGGGGCCCAGGATCTTGGGGACGTAATCCCGCAAGGTGATGATCTGCATACGAGGAAGGGGACACGGCAGCCTCTGAGCGGGGTGGGGGGGGGGGTGAAGGTGTCAGGGCCCGAGCCTCCCCAGTGAGGGCGCCGGTGAGCAGGCACAGCAACACCCGGGGTTCCAGACCAAGTCTCAGAGCTCTGCACTGACGGGTCAGACAGGCCATGTCAGAGATGCACCCCCCAGGGACACACACCCTCCAGGGTGGGACAGGCCCAGGGGCTGCCGCCGCTGGGCCCCTCTCCCACACGTGGCAGTGTTTCCGTCTGAACCGTCTTCTCCCCGCACCTGCACTTCACCTGTGAGCACGGCACCAGCACCCGAACCCACCCCAATGTCGGGATGCGGCCGCTGCAGGGAGCCTGGCCCCGGGGGCTCAGGAGCCAGCCCCCCGCGTGGGCTCCCCCCCACCCCGAGGCTGTGTGGGAGCCTTGCCAGCCCTCCCGAGCCGGTCTGCTGATCTGCCAAAGCTTCTCGCGTGAGCGCAAAAAACACACACGGTTTTGCATGTGAGATGTGTTCATAGTGTCACGTCTGGGTGTAAAACACAGCAGACGCACCATGTCGTGCCGTGTACAATGCACACCCACGTTCTGTGCATGTTATACACGGGATCATTATGCCCATTATTGATACACCATGGCATGCAGTCATCCTGCCCACGCATAAGGCGCGTCCTCATTTCCCCTCAAAGATTTGGGCAAAAAGTGCTCATCGGACACGGCAAATCACGACGCCTTGTACACAGAACGGCGCAGCGCGGACAACTCCGTCTCCCCATGTGTGGAGGGAATGGACACGGCGAGGACAGTGCTCACAAGTCCACACAGGGGCAGAGGCCGTGGCTCCCCTCGAAACCGCCTCCCTCTGCCCGTCAGCTCGTCCTCGGGCCACAACTCGGCGGTGGAGGTGCCACCAGGCTCGGGAACAGAGCGCGTGCCGTGGGCTTACCCGTGAGCCTAAGGACGCACTCCTGTGCCCGCTGAGAAGACCCAGGGCACCGGCTGTGGTCAGCGACTGGGGGGGGGAGGGCTGCCGCTCACGGACGGGGCCGGGTCTCCGCACACAGCCTCCCGCTGCCACAGGGGCCGCAGATGGAGCTTCTTCGTCTTTTTCTTTCTGTTTATCTACGTGTTTGTTTACCTTTGTGGGAAACCAGGAGTTGCGTTTACAAGGCTGACTCCAGAGCACGGCTGGCTCCTCGGACGGCCGGGGGGCTGGAGGCGGCCCGGGCTGGCTCCCCGTGGGGAAGACCCCCGGTGGGTGGGCACGAACGCGTCCCCCACGTTAAACTTCGTCCAGTGAGGAGTGGGTCTGCCATCAGCCACAGGGTCTCGCCTCTCAGCTCACCCGCTCAGGAGGGCCGGCTGCCAACCCTCTAGGCCACTCGAAACGTGGCAAGCGCTGTGCCTGCCCACCCGGCGTGCGTCCTCCCAGACGGTGGGGCGCATCTTCTCAGTGTCCCTGGGCACACCGAGGGCGCGTGGCTGCCGCCCCAGCTGGTGGGAGGACGCATCACGGGGCTCGCTGTGGGGCGTCTCCCCCGGGACCCGCAGACACGGAACTCGGGCCGCACCTGGGGTCTCCAGGCTGACACACGCGGACCACCCGTGTCCCCGATCTGCGTTTGGGGCAGTCACGACTTCACCACGCAGAGTCCGCCCCTCAACCTCAGGCGCAACTTCAGGGCCACAGATGTGTCCAGGGGCTCCAACAGGCCACCAGGCGAGTGCCCCCCCTCCCCCAGCTCACGGGCGGCGGCAGCACTCCGCTGACTCCCTCCTCCAGACTCGTACACCCCACAGCAGAAGGACACAAGACGTCCAGGTGGGCACTGGGTCAAAGATGCCGCCGCCCTTCCCCGCACCTGAACTTTGCCTGCAATCCAGGAGGCCAGCTGTGTGCGGTAGTCACCGCTGCGGCAGGCCGACAGGGCGCCTCTCGGCCCCAAAGTGGCTGCCTGCACGCAGCAGAGTCCTCTGAACCAGCAGCTGTCCCTGTGTGTCCGTGTGCCCCACACGGCGGCCTCCTCGCCTCGCCCGACAGGCCCCTCCTCCCTGCCTGGCCTGAGGCGCGGCAGCCAATGACGATGGCGCTGCTGGCCTGCGAGGCTCCCGCAGCCACCGCCAGGCCCCTCCCCAATGGACAGACAGATGGACGACAGACGGGGAGACGGGCTCCAGTGGGCTCTCGAGGTGCAGGTCTGACCGGAGACTTGATTTCTACTCCCAGTGGGGCCGGGCCAAGGCTCCTGTCGCGTTACACCAACGGCGTCCGCACCGGCTCTGACCCCTCCCAGACTCCTGCGAGTTCCCTTCCAGCCCCCCGCCCCCGCCTCCCAGTGCGTCCACCCTCCTCTGTCCAGCAGGGTCAGAGGTCAGCAAGGGCAGCACGCAGTGTCCACGCAGCCTCGGGCTCTGCGTCAGGCTCCCGCGGCCGGTCCAGCCCCTGGGCCACACGACCACACGGGGACCCACACTCGGACCCACACGCCCCTCGTGTGCACCCACGCACAACACACGCCGTGTGCTACACTCCCACGCGCACACACACACACCGCAGAACCCGCACAGCACACGCCCTCGGCACACATCCCTGGGACGAGGGGCATTCTGGGGTGTCTTCAGCCGAGTCGCGCCGCGCAGGTGAGGGTGGGACGAACGGACAAGCTCCCCCCTCCGCTGCAACACGATGGGCCTCTGGCCACCCTGAGACCTCACCTGCGATCCTCGGATTCACGTAAAAATCAGCATCAACGAGGAGAGAATCGAAGCTCTGATCTAACTTCCTGGTTCACAAATCTGTCTTTCTGTTCATTTTCTCCAGTGTCTTCAAACGCAGAAACCCCAGGACCACCGGTGCGCAGGCCGCTCAAGGGGTGGCTGGGAAAGCACTCGGAGTGCTGTGGCCACCAGGAGCCCGGGCGAGGGGGGGTGGACTGAACCTGTCACCGCTGTGAGCAGCTGGGGCTGCCGTCGTCCTCTGTCGGATCACGGCGGCCAGCCCCAGAGCGGACTAGATCTCAGACCAGGGACTCCGACCCCGTGCTCCAGAAGCTGCGGGGTGAACCTCAGTGCAGGTGCCAACGGTGCATCGGCGCACCTGTCCAGGGAGCCTGCAGTGGCTCAGCTCACCATTCAGGATGCCCGGGAGGACTCTCCGCACCAATCAGGACACCCGCAGCGACTGCGCACCAATCAGGACACCCGGGGTGACTCTGAGCACCATTCAGGATGCCCGGGAGGACTCTCCGCACCAATCAGGACACCCGCAGCGACTGCGCACCAATCAGGATGCCCGTGCTGACTGCGCACCAATTAGGACATCCACGGCGACTCTGCGCACCAATTAGGACTCCCACAGTGACTCTGACCACCAATCAGGACGCCCGCGGTGACTGCGCACCAATTAGGACACCCGCGGCGATCCTGAGTACCAATCAGGATGCCTGCAGTGACTCCACCATTCAGTACGCCCCGAGTAACTGCGCACCAATCAGGACTCCCACAGTGACCCTACGCACCAATCAGGACGCCCGCGGTGACTCTGACCACCAATCAGGATGCCCACAGCGACCCGTGCACTGGCTCGGGACGCCAGGAGGGCTCACCACACACCTGGTGCAGGGCGCCCACGACCTTGCGCGCCTCCTGGTAGGCGGTGTCGGCGCTCCAGTGCGGGTTGAGGGCCTTGAGCGCCGCAGCCAGGCGGTTGTGCTCGCGCAGCCACAGCGTGTGCAGGGCCGTCAGGGAGAGGACCTCGCTGGCGCGGCTGTCCCCGGCCAGGAAGCAGGGGGCGGGGCCCTGGGCCCCGGGCTCCGGGGCGCAGGCCGGGGGTGTGCGCGGCGGGGCGAAGGGTAGGTAGGCGCGGCCGGCGTCCGCGTGGCGCGTGTTCACCCGCAGCAGCCCCTCCGCGCTGGTCCAGTTCCGCAGCTGCTTCTCCAGGGCGGGGGAGCTGCCGTACACGGTGGACGCGTCCAGGAAGGAGGTCAGCCCGTTCATCTGCTGTCGTGGGTTCGCCGCGGACAGGTTGCCGAACAAGGCGCCTTGGGCTCCGGTGCCACAGGCGGCGGACGACCGGTAGAAGGGCAGGCAGGTGGTGCCCGAGGTCCCCGAGGCGTTGGCCGGGAGCTGCCGGAAAGGGGGCCCAGTCACCTGGGGTTCTCGGCACCCTCTTTACAGACCCCGGGAGCCCCACGCCATGGCGAGTCTGCCCTCAGTTCAGGCCAACCCTCCTGTGTCCGGGGTCAGGGTCCCGCTCATGCCCACTTCCCCGGGTTTCCGTTTGGGAGAGTGTGTTCAGTGCCCTCCCGGTTGGAGCCTCACCTGCCCGCGCCTGTGTCCCAGCTGCCGGCTGTCGGTACTGTGCCCCCTCCAACCCCCGGCCCCCCCGCAGAAAGCCCTCGGCCAGTGGGGCCTGCCGGAGCAGAGCGCAGCCCAGCCCGGCCCAGAACGCCCACGGCGAGGTCACGGCCGAGTGTCAGCCAGGACAGCGGCCCGCCGGTCTTCGCTCTCGCGGGCAGAAGATGCCCTGGGCCAGGCTGGGAGGTGTTTTCCGAAGGGAAGTAGCGGAGCACCCGGCCTGTGCTGAGTCTCTCCGTGCACGTGAGAGGGAAAGTCGAGCACTGTGACCCTCCCACGGCACCAGGTGCCTCGGTGGCGTGCGCCCGCACACCGGGGGCGGTCCCAGTGTGTTCGCGGCGGCGGTGTCTGTGAACATGCATCAGCAACGAAGCTGAGAGCCGCGGACACGCTCCTCAGAGAGCAACTGGCCACGGAAGCCGCCGCGGTGCATACACCCGGGGACGCTGAGACGGCGCCGGCCAACCCGCTCCCAGTCTGTTTAATGGCGGAGGCAGGAGTGCGGGGGTTGTGGCTGAGTGGCCGGGGCTCGGGACGACCCGTGGATGGGACACTTGGGTGCAAGGACAGACACGCATGCACGCACACACGTGAACATTACACACGGGCAAGCACAGACCCATCCTCGACAGCTGCTCCCCTCCCCCCCGCCCCCGGGACAGGACGGGCGTGTCTCGGTCTGACTCTCTAAAATGGCATCGGTCGGCTCCGCGGCAGCAGCAGACGCGAGGGCCGGCGCACCTGGATGGGGAAGCACGGGTGCCGGCTCTCGCAGGTGCGCTGGCAGTCGGCCCCTCCCCCGAGCGCAGCTCCGCCGGCGCTCTGCGGCGTGAACGCGATGTCGTGGTCGATGTACTGCCCCCACGCCACCAGCAGGTCCGAATACTGGTCGTCCTCGGTCACAGCCTCGTTGGGCACTTGGATGACCTGCCGCGTCACTTCCCAGACCTGGGCGAGAAGGGGAGCGGCAGACGGGGTTTGGGTTTCGCGGGTCAGTTGCTGGGGAGCAGAGGGGCCATCGTCCCCGCCTCCTGAGCGAGCCACTTCACTAGCGAGTGTCGGAGCGGGCTCACCCTCCACCCGGGAGTGCGGGGGCTTCTGAAACCGGGGTGGGGACAGCTGGAGGGACAGCTGCGTCACCCCCTCACGGGCTGGGACTCAGGTCTTTGCAGCCCCAGCTCCTCAGCTAGGAAGCCGGCTGTGACGCCCCTGCCCCCATGGAGGACGAGGGGGGCAGGAACCACACCAGCACCTGCAGGAGCCCGCCACGCCCACCCGGGGCCCAGGGAAAGGCCCAGGGGACCTGATGGTGACACAGGCCACGCAGCGATCTGGGGTACCCACCGGCGGCAGGGGGACCCCGTTGTATAAGAAGTGGGGGTTCCAGCCTCGGGGCTCGCTGATGCCGTCCTCGTAGGCGGGCGGCAGCCACCTGGCCAGGGCCGTGTTGGAGGCGCCCCACCTGGGATGGTCTCTGGAACGAAGGTGCGCAGTGAGCGTGGAGGGGGGGAGGGGGGGCTCGTCTCCTACGGGAGCCTGAGCTCCAGGAACACTGGCTCCGTCGGGCTGGCTCCCCGGGCCCTCGGCCTGACACCGGCCTGCAGCTGGGTGCTCTCCCCCGTGGTGCCCGACGGAACCGCTTCCCGGGTGCCTACGGCCGGGGACCCCGTCCAGAGCCCCGCGCTCCAGATGCGCCCTTTCCTCAGCCCGAGCCCACCATTCCCGCCCCCCTTCTGGCAGCCTTTCGGGTCAGGCGCGCCCCTCGCACTGTGGCCAGGCAGGGCCCCTCCCTGCAGGACAGAGACTTGGGGGGGCGGGGGGCTGGGGGGGGTCTCCCAGCAAAGACACAGTTTGGGAAGTCCTGGTTTCACGTCCCTTATTCAGGCGCCCCACCCGTGTGGGGCGCGGTGCCCTTTCCTGTCGTTCACATTGGCCTCCAGCACGGAGACGCTGCTGGACACGGCTCAGAGCGACTGCTGAGGCGTCCTGAATTCAGGAGTGAGGCTCTGTCGAGGGGGCATGTGCTAGTGCAGCTGTTTGGACTGAAAATAAGCTTTTTCTGAGAGAAGCAAGCCGTGGCTGGCTGACGGGTTTGACAGTTAGAGGAAAATGTGTCCCCCGTTTTGACAGAAAGAGACAACACGCGAGGAGGTGAAGCTGGTTTAACGACATCCGAGCTGACAAACCGCGCTGAGTGCCCGGGCGGAGGAGGGCGCCCCCCAGTGACGGGCCTGGGGAACTCGCGGGACGCGCAGAAACAGCGAGGAAAGGTGCTGACGACCCCTGTGAGGACCCGGTGCTCCCGTCTTTGCTGGAGAAGGAGCTGAAGGACGGCCGACTGAGCCGTCTGCCTACAGGCCCTTGCGGCGACTTTGGTGGCGGCTCCTCTGTCTCCGAGGGCGGGGGAGGGCCGGGCCGCCCCCCTGGGCCGGGGCTTCTGTTCCAATGCCTGGCGGCAGGTCCCTGCGCCCCGGGCCTGGCCTCACCTTCCACCACGCCCCCCCCCCCCCGCCAACGCAGGCCCGCGCCTCTGAGCAGCTCTGCGGGGCAGTGGGTGCCCCCAGGGGGTCTCGGGTGACTGGCTGAGCGCCACTTACCAGCGGGCAGAGCTCCCCCGGCTGAGCCGGGGCTGACGGACACAGGCCGCCAGCCCGGCAGTAAGCTAATCAGCCTCAGCAGAAACTCAGGTGTGCGTTCAGGAGTTAAGCACACGGTGACCCATCCGTGCCGACCGGGTCGGTGGTGACCTGCCAACGGCCGCACAGAACCTCAGGGTCCAAGGGAGTGACACCGGGGCCCTGGGCTCCCCGACACGTTTCCGACTTCGGCATTTCAGCTCGTGAAATACAACGTGGGTGTGTGAAATACACCACACGCATGACCATGGCAGCATACGTGTGCGATAAAAACATGCAGACATGTGACATTTGTGGGAGGACCCACGTCGGCGGGGCAGGTGCAGATGCACAGGAAGGGCCGTCGAAGCGGCAGACCAGAGACTTCCGGTCGGAAAGGTCACAGAAGACTGGGAGGAGTCAGGATGAAGACGCCATCAGCTCAGAGAGCAAAAGGAGCACGTTTGCCTCTGTTCTTCGAGGAAGGGTTGTCTGGTGCAAACCCGCGCGGCCGGCCCGCCCCTTGGCGTTCGTCCCCGAACCTGCGCGGGCAGGGCCGGCAGCACAGTCTCTGCGAGAAGCAGGGGAGGCTGCGCCCGAGGGCTGAGGGGGGGACGGGGGTCTGGGGCTGCCCGGCCGGTGAGAGTCGGGGCCGATCGGGCCGACGCCGAGTCCCTCACAGCTCTGCTGCGCGGTCACCGGGAACACCCGGGAGTGGGGTCCCCAAGAACCGGGGGGGGCGCTGAATGAGGATTCAAAGGCTCTGGCGTGTCTGGAAACGCGAGTGTGTAGACACTAGATGGTGGGCGTTGACACGGACGCGCCCTCTCCGTCACGAACGTGCGTGGCCGTTCTCGCACCGGTGGGGCCGACGTCGGCGAGCGGCCTGGACCTGGAAGGGCCCGCGGGCGCCCGACAGCCTCGGCTAAGCCGGGCCCCAGGAGGCTGAGGCGGCACAGGGACCAGCCACTTCAGCCCGGGCCGCGGCCGCGGACGCGGACGGAACAGGGGACACGTCTGCCCCAGCGCAGGTCTCCCCGTGACACACGGCTCCCGACACGAGAGAGAGGGGGCTGGGCTGCCCCAGCCGCTCCCGTCGCTGCTTCGGGTGCGGGCACACGCGGGAGTGGCCTGCGGCGGTTGGTGGGGACGGCTCGGCCAGTGACCACATGACCCGTCCCTCCGGTGGGGAGACAACGCTTCGTGATAAAGGGAGGGGGCTGTTACCATGTACGCTGGAGCCACGGGATGAGCCGGGCTCTCCCAGGTGAGCTGGGCCCACGGCCCCCCGTCAGCCCTGAGAAGAGACTCTGTCCCGCTCCCCAGCGTGGGTCCCGGCGCCCGGCACAGGCGGGAGGAGAGAGGCTTCGAACCGACAGTGCATGGAATGGGTGCACGAAAGGCTCCGTGTGTTCTGGGCCCCCCCCCCGCCCCGCCTCCTGACTCAACCGCCGCCAGAGGCCAGAGGTGTTCTCCGCACCTTGAGCTGTGCCTGCCCCTTTCCGCTCCTGGGCCAGCGGGCCCTCAGGCTGGGAGCCCAGGCGCGCCCGCCAGGAGCCTGGAGGAGCCCACCGTCCCCTCAAGATCCTGGTCTCGGGCCCCGAGCGCGGCGTGGGGGCCCTGCCCAGCACCCCGAGTCTCCCGGGTCCCGCCGACCCCATCTGTCACGCCGCTCTGCTCTGCCTCCTCCCCGTCACTTGGCTGTGACTCTCCCCACCCCCCTGTGGGACCCGCTGAGCGGGGGGCCCTGCCCCTGATCTCGGTGCTGCGGAGCCGGCAGGCCGTGCAGACAGGCGCCTGGACAGGGCACAGACGGGTGAGTGGCCACGACGAGGAGTCAGAGGCCACAGGGAAAGGGTCACAAACTGTCCGGTCACGTGCACGCCCAGCCAGCTGGGGGCGGCCGGGAGGCGGGAGGAAGTACCTGTTGTTGCAGGCGCCCGTGATGAGCCTGTACTTGTCCGCCAGGCAGGAGTCCGGGCAGCGGGGGGGCAGCATGTGGGCCAGGCAGCCCGACAGGTTCGCGATGGTGCTCAGCACGTCGGCCGGCAGGGCGTCTGCGGGGACGGTTCGGGCGTCAGCGCCCGGCGGGGCCCGGCGTCGGCCGGACGGAGCTGGTGCCCGCCTGTGCCCGGGCCCTGGGCTCCTGCCAGCGCCGCCCTCCTAGAACCCCTGCCCCACCCCAGCCTCCTCGCAGCCCGGGGCACGGGCTCTCAAAGTCTGCGTTCCTTGAGATCTTTCCGGAAAGCCGTCCCGAGAGCTCTGAGCGGTGCCACTTGTCACCCGGCGCTGCCTCGTCCGGCCCGGCGACGCTTCGGGCGGGGGGGTGCCTGGCACTTACCCCTCCCCCCAGTCCCTGCCTCGGCCACGGTCACCGATGGCCGCGTGTCCATCCGCCAAACCTCCCTTTTGTTCCCTGGGACACGGCCTGGGTCAGGGCCCCTGAAAGCGTTTCTCTTATTTTTTGGTGGTTTTGGGGTTTTTTTTGCCAATTCTATTCCTATTTATTCAACAAATTGATTTTGAGCTAGTTCTCCAAGTCCACTCTGAGTAGCAGAGAGACAGTTGAGTCTCCAATTAACTTAAAAAATACTGTGTTTACCAGGTTCTGCTTTCGTCCTGTGAGCGGGAGTTGCACCGTCCTCTGACCCGTGGGAACGCCCCCGTGACACCCCTCAGCCCCTGAACCAGGTCCCCCCCACCCCCCACCCCCCCACGCTCACCCGTCGGGAGCAGCGCCCGCCCCGGGCGAGCCTGCCGCCTCAGCGCCTGCACCGAGGCCTCCATGACCTCCGCCGCGCGGGACACGGCCTGGCTGCTGGGCTCCGGGAGCTTGGAAGCCGACAGGAGCTGAGACGGAGAGGCGACCTCCCTCTTCCTGAGGTTTCTGGGGCACGAAGGGGGGATGCAAAGTCTGTTGCTCTTTCCTGGAGATGTGGTACCTACTCGCCAGTCCACGAGCAGACACTGATGGAGAAGCTACCGGGTGCCAGGCACCGCGCAGAACTCGAGGGCGGGGTTTGTGGGGATCCTCGGTCCAGGGTCGCTGGACACAACAACAGGCGGCTGGTCGCTGTCCAGCGGCCAGCGTCTGCCGCCCACCAGCTCCCCTCTCTGAGCCGGTCCGACTCTCTGCCCCCGTGTGGGACAAGCCTCCTCCTGACCCAGCTGGACACTGGGGCGCAGCCGGGGGCGCAGAGAGTGAGTGCAGCTCGGCCCGGCGCCGACCCGAGCGGGGCACCCCCCGTCTCAGGAGGGTCCGGTTCTCGTGGGCGGAGACCAGACGGGGCGACGAGACCCCCCACCACCTGCCGGCTGTTCGCCCCCACTTCCCCCTGGCTTTACGCAGAGTGCTGGCCGTGAGCTCCTGCCGAACGCCTTTTCCCAAGTGCTGGGACCCAGGTCAAGGCTCGCTGGCAGTCAGCGTGGACAGCGGGGGGTTTTCTGGCCGGAACGACAGACGTCTGGGGCGAGCAGCTGCCACCTGCAGCTGTTTGCCTCCCGGGCGCTCACACGGCCGGTCGACCCCCGCGAGTCCGAGAGGATGGCGCCCGCGTCTCAGCTGCGGGTCTGCTGTCCTGCCTCCCAGACCCCCGAGCGCATGGCACCCTCATCCCGCTCGGCCCTGCACGCGCTGAACGAGGGCGCGTGACCCCCGTTGAAGGGGGGCAGAGGGCGGGTCCCCCCCAGGGCCCACACGGGCGGCCGGCACCCGGGGCCCGCCCTGCCCAGGTTGCTGCCTGATTCTCGGGGGAGGAGCCCACTCAGTGTCAGCCTCCGGGGTCCCCTGCCCTGGTCTTCCCGGCCCAGGGGATCGGCCCGGGGTGGGGGGGGGGCCGTGGGGCTTCCCTCTGTTTGGCTACTGAAAGACTTGGACACAGACGGCTGGTTCTTCCGGCAGCTTCCGCAGGATGGCGGCAAGTGAATCGGCCCACGAGAGCACCAGCTCTGTGTCCGCGAGGCACAGGCCCTGGGACCGGCCTCGGGGGGGATTGTGGAGGTAGATCGGTAACCGTGTGAAGACCGCCACAGGCCTGGGACCCGGGGCACCGCACCCCGCCCCGCTGTCCGCCCGGGAATGGGGTACCTCTCCACGGTGCTGGGGATGGCGCCGTCCACCAGGAGCCGGCTCTCCTCCAGGACGCGGAGCACGGGCGGGTCCCTGGGGCCCCCTGCGGAAGGAAGGAAGGCCGTCCTCACGAAGAGGCCTGCGCGCACGCCTGGACTTGGCACGGACGCCAGGCCCAGGCCCCGTCTGGGCGGGGAGGAGGGCCTGTGGTTTCCAGGGTAGACTCCATTCGGGGCTTGAGCAGGGCCGTCTGCCAATGTTTTCAGACCCAGCACGGACCTGGGAGGTGGCAGGGGCTCGACCACCGACAGCTCTGCCGCCGTGGAGGGTCCCAGGCCTGTTCCCGGAGCTGTGACCCCGGCGAGTGGCGCACTGGGGCGGGCAGCCAGGGGTCCGGCGAGGACCCGGCCCTGCTGCCCGGAGGCCACTGGCTCTGCGGGGAGCTGGCCACTGGTTTGCCTCACAAGGTCCCTGAGCACCAGCGGTCCCCACCCGAACTCACGCAGAAAGCAAGGGTATGGCCGCTCAAATTCCGGCTGCAGCGAAATTGGACGGATGCAAACTGTGTTTCAAAGAAAGTTTACCAGTGAGTATTTTGTTTCAAAGCTTTTGTTGGCTTGTTGTCAACTGGAAAAAAGTCTTTTATACTAAAAAATGTAAAACGGAAACACTGAGAGGTAACCTTTGCCAAATAAGTAATTGACAAAGTAAACGAGCAGTAGGCCAGCTTCAAACGTCCCAGTTAACAGCAAGGTCAGCAACAAAGGGCAGCCTTTCTCCTGGACCCTGTCGTGTGCATCACTGCACTTTCACTGGAAGTTTGAGGCGGGAGGAGTCACACCTCTCCGAGGCGGGAAATACCAGAAAACTGCTTTGGCAACGCTGCACACACCACGTTCCCACGTTTTAGGAAACAACTTGGTTTCTGAACCTGGAGCCTGGAGCCGACACGCTTATTCTGCTGAGCCGCCCTCTGCACCAGGGTCTCGCTGCAACTCGCAGCGTGGCTTCCGGCTTTTGCTACCTTGGCTCCTACGACCAGGAGCTCCATGAAGAACAGCCCAGGAACAAATGAACCAATTCGCAAGACGTTTGCTGAACGCCCGTCACAGGCCAGGCCCCGGAAGGACTGATTTTCAGTGGGGGCGCGGGACTGCCTGTTCCTGAGCTGTTGTAACACGCGACTCGGTTTCCCCTTTTCCTGCGGTTGGCCAGCGCGGCGACCCGGGCTCGGGTGCAGCGCCTCTGGGTGCTCACCAGTAATGACAATGATGCAGTTGTGGGGTTCACCTGTGAGCTGAGGGCAGGACCCAAAGTGCCCCAGGCAGCACCTGGCAGGAGCAGAGCCCACCTGCCTGGTCGGACCTCGACGCCCGCCTCGCAGGTCCCGATGGTGCTGGATGGTGCCGCGCTCACTCGAGGAGCGCACCTGTCTGAGCCCGTCTGAGACCCCCTGGCCCCAGGGCACAGCAAGACGGGGGCGGGGGGTGGGGGGAATGGCTCCCAGCAGGAGGCTCAGCTGGGTGTGGCTGCTGCCGCCAGCCCTGGGGGACTGTTGGGAGGCCTGTGGTTCCTGGGGAGAGCCGGTGCCGCCAGGCCCTGTCCACCAGAAGCTCCCAGAGCGGCTGGGTGCCCCCCAGGGCACAGCTGGCGCCCCAGCACCTGGCAGCCCGAGAGAGCCTGGCTGCAGACTCCGCCGGGTTCCATCCGCCCCCTCGGGGGCTTGGGGGTTTCTTCTTCTGCGTTTCTTACTTATTCAGCAAACCAAAAGCAGAGTTCAGACGTGACTTCTCTGCATCTAGATAGCTTTCTTAATGAACTTAGGCCTTGTAACACCGGATCTCAAACGACGCATCACAGAATGACTCAGCGAACAGGGATTTTATAGCAAAACTTTTCTTTTCCAAGTGTCTGAGCAGGTAACACGGACCTGTCCTATGTGTTTTCACAGGAACATCTGCTTTTTTTTTTTTTTTTTAGAAAGAGTTGTATCTTTACCCTTTTCCTGGGAAACCAGAGGACAGAGCGAGGGCTCTCACCTGCCTTCTCGAGCCACCTGCAGGCTTTCTGGGCTGGAGCCGAGAACAGGGGCACCACTGGGCCCAGAGGCCACCCCTGTCACTTACCCCAGAGCAGGTCCTTGGCTCCCAGGAACGGGAGGAGAACTCGGCTGCCGGCCACAACCAGGACGACGCCCAGGACGGCCAGGGCTCGCCCCCTGAAGTCAGGGCGAAAGGGGAGAGAGAGGCACACTCAGCTCTCGGCAGCAGGAGCTGCCACCTCCCCGGGGGCGTCTGGTGCTCAGCGTCTCTGGCAGCCGCCCCCCACTCGCCCACCATGGTGACGGGGTCCTGGAGGCCGGCAGCGGGCTGTGCGAGCCCCTGACCCGCGTCCCGAGCCGGGAAGGCTGCCCCCTGGGGCCGAGGTGCTGGGCGGCCTTGCCTGCCCTAATTGTCTGAGGAAGAATCTGGCCAACTCGGCCGCTGCCGGCGGCGGACGAGCTGACGCCCGGCCATGTGGGTCCCTGGGAGTGAGCGCTGGGGACAGCATGAGCCCGGCCCCCCGCAGCACACCTGAGTGGGGAGGAGGACCCCCCCAGGACCTGGGCCTCCACAGCAGTGGCGAGCGAGAGCCCTGCATGGGAGCGAGTGTCTCGCAGCACCCTTCCCCTGCTCGCAGGATGGCCTGGGACTCCGGCCGCTGCTAGACGGAGCCCACGACGCAACGCGGGTCGTTTCTACCTCCCCACCCCGGGCTTTCCTGGCCCCGGGCTCCCTCGCGGCTTCTGAGGGAAGCGGCTGGGTGAGGTGGCGTCTTTACCTGGCGGACATGGAGGCGGAGGTCAGGCCGTGCGTGGGGAGGGCTCGTGGCCGCCCGTCAGCTGTGCTCGGAGACTAGCCCCAACCCCGCTGGCCCCCCCTGCACCACACGCGCTGCAAGTCCCGGGGGCTTGTAGTTTCTGCCAGGAAGGGGGAACGGCACGTTTTATAAGCCGACCGTTTCTCCTCCCCCGAGGCCCGGGCCCTCCCCGCGGCGGCCGGGGCTGCTCTGAACCGTGACCCTCGGCGGCGCCAGCGCCGGCTGCCCTCCCTGTACGCCGGCTCTGCGCTCCAACACCCGCTCAAGTGGCCGGGCTGGAGAGGCTGCGTCCCCGTGGCGACGAGATGACCTGGGCAGTGTCCACACGCACCAGGCGTCCGGCGCTGGTCGGGGACAAGGCCCGGGAGCCCTGAGCCTCCGGCCGCACGTTGGACAGAAAGCACGCACAGGCGCTGGGGGAGAACCCACGGACATCGGCCCCTGACACCCGCACTTTCCTCCCCGCCTCTCTGAGCTCCGCGCCCACAGTAAACGTGGCCGGAGGAGAGGCGGCCGGGCGGTGAGCACACAGCGCTGTACGTGGGCGGTGCGTCAGAGAAGTGCACCCCGAACCCCGTGCGGCTTCGTCGACCGGGCTCCCCCCGCAGATGCAGCAAAACAGGGGGACTTGCCCTCCGGAGGGCGACCGGGGTCGGGGCTCGGGGTGGGAGGCCCCTGCAGTGTCCGGCCCTCGGCCTGTCGCCGGAGGCGGCTGGCTCTTCTCCAGGCGGCTGGCGGTGCTGTTTGCTGAGCTTCTCTCGGGTTTACTAACTAGTCATCTTCTCTCCCCTCCCCTCCCTCCGGAGTTACTCGGGAGGACCGTGCGCCCCCAGCTGAGGCGGATGAAACAGCATTAGCACAGGCCCCTGGCCCTGGGCCCCAGGCCCGGAGCTCCTCTGAGGCGGGACAGAGTCAGGACCTGGGGCAGGAAGGACCCCCTGGAGGCAACTGACATTTGGGGGAGTCACCCTGGCCAGCCCAGCGAGATTACGCTGCGTGTATGGCTGACACACCATGAAACATCAGCTGGAACCACCACCTGCTTAGACTTCCCTGCAGTGGGACCTGTTAGCGGGCCAGTTCTGGTCGCCAGCGTGTCCGGTCCGGTGACCAGTGGTTCTGAAGGGGACCGAGCTCTGGCATTCCAGGGCTGTGCTGGCCACGGGCCCCTCCCGCCGTGCCGGGCCCTTTGTCAGGAGTGGGGATACATGGGGACATGTGGGGACAGGCCACGCTGGGCCTTGTCCCCAAGTGCACGGGGGGTGTTTGGGGCTGGAAACGACAGGCGGAGGTTTGGGAGGGGAGCGTGAGCCAAGTGGCCAGTGGGGCAGGGCTGAGTCCTGGGCCTTGGGACAGTCCAGGGTGGGCGGTGTCCCGGGTCCCCACAAGGCAGGCAGGCAGGCAGGGGCCCAGGGTCTGGCTGCCTGGCTCCGAGTGGGTAGGCGGTGGGGAAGGGACCCAGGAACCTGGAGTTTCTTCCAGACTTAGGTGAGAGTGCTGGAAACGCTGCCCAGAAGTTTTCTATTGAAATTCCGTTTACGTCCCTCCGGTCTCTGAGGGAGACGCCCACAGAGAGGCGGCTGGGGGTGCAGGTGTGACGTGTGCACAGGTCACTGTCACATAGAGCAGACGTGATGGGGAAACAAGCACCTCGCAAGGCAGATAGCCCCCCGTGAGTGCAGGACGACAAGGCCGGCCTCTGGAGGCTCCCCGGGGTGGGTGGCTGGTGGCCTCTGTGGCTGCCACTTCAGTGGCAGTGTGAGGTGGCGCGTCCCTACCACTTCCAGGGTCGCCTGGACCACAGGAGTCTGGGGCCTTTGTTTCCTCACGAGACCCTTGTGTCGCCCGCTGGGCAGCCCTGAGCCACGTGGGCTGCCCTGTCACCAGCTCCACGCGCTGAACCGGGAGAGTGACCACCCCACGAACCTGTCACCATGAGCAGTGTCCTGCCCGGGTGACGGACAGGAAGCACAGGGTGGGCGTCAGGCCCAAACACGGTGACATTCCCGTGGCGATGACGGTCGGAGTTGGGACCTGACTGCGCTGACGCAGAAGTGCCCGCAGGTCACGTGCACACTCGGGCACGGTCCACACGCATGATGTGTGTCCTGGGCACTCACGTCAACTCTGCACACGGGATACTGGGCTGTGGCGGCCGGCCCCGCCCCCCCCAAATGCTCGGAGACCGGCACCAGCTGCCCGCACCCCCGCAGGGCTTTGCGCGGGTGCCCCGTGGACCGTGGCCGTCCTCTGCGGCCCACTGAGCTCAGGAGTTCTCAGGCCGCGGGTCACAGCGCTCACTCAGGAGGGGCCTCGGGGCAGAGCCGGGCCTGCAGCAAACAGCAGCGCGGCGTCTTTGGCAGCGCCTCCTCCCAGAGCGCACACGGAGTGCACACGGAGCACACACAAGCACACAGTGCACACGGCGCACATGGAGCACACACAGCACACACGGAGTGCACACGGAGTGCACACGGAGTGCACACACAGAGCACACACGAGCAGCAACTGCGATGCCGCAGCACACCACATGCATGGTTGCTGCCGATCTGACCGAAACACGGGTGCGATTTTGACTTGTTCACGCCAGACCGCTGCTGCGGTTGTGCCGGCTGTTGTCACTGTGTGATTTGCCCGGCTAAGGGACAAGGGGTCGGCGCTGCGGACTAAGCAGTCAGGTGTCGCGTGCGTCAACGTCCTCGCCGCGCAGCGGGGGAGGTCGCTGCCTTGGAACCGTGGGTCCGGGGCCTCACTCTGCGCGGTGTGGCTGCTCTCAGGGATGCAGGGGGTCCGCCTCGGGGCGCACCCTGGGGGGCGGGGCGGTGGCACACAAGGACAATCTGTCTTCAGCAGGCCAGGCCAAAGCTGCTGGGAGGGGTGACGGGGACTAACGAGGGGTGACAGGGGCCAGCGGGTGTCAGGAGGGTCCCTGGCTGGGCTGGGCTGGTCTGGGTTACGAATGTTCTGGTGACTTCACGTCTGCAGCCCGTGGTGGGAACACGGGTCTTTAGTGGGAGGCATTTCTTTGTCCTTCTGTAACTGGAAAAGACACCGGCATTCGGGCCGCCTGTCACTACCAAACCCAATAAGCAATGACAGCGATTGAATCTTTTATGGGCATCTTATTCAGATGGCCGGCGATCCAAGAAGATGGCGGGTTCATACCCTAACAAACCATCTTCCCCTTTCTTTCCCGGCCAGATCTTTTATAAGGGGGTGGGGGAGGGCAAACAGGAGCTGGTGAGAGTCTTTGAAGTTCGCAGCTGCAGCACTCCTGTCCTGGGCAACTAGCTGTCTTCAAGTGGGAGGGGTAGTTGCCTGCTTTTTTCCTATACATGTCTCCAGGCAGTAATCTCTAGCCAGCACCCCAGGTCGGCTGCTTTTTCTCAGGCACCAGATGGGCCTTATCTGTAGTTTCTGAAACAAAGAGCTTAACATACGCATTACTTGCTAAATTTATGGCTATTCACCTTAAGCTAAATTTTTCTAAGTCTTAAGCCCCCTATCACTTTTGGGATTTCCCACAGGGACACGTGATTAGAGAGCGGCCCGCGGCCGTTTTTTGTGAAAGATAACGGGCTTTTCCAGAAAGCCTCCTTTGGGCTGCGGCGTCCCCACGGACCGACGGGCCCAGATGTGAAGGAGGCCTGCGTGCAGGGGAGACCCGGCTCTCGCGGACAGAGCCACCAGACGTGCTCGCGCCCGCCGCGGAGGCGCACCGGACGTGCTCGCGCCCGTCGTGCAGGCGCATCGGACGTGCTCGCGCCCGCCGCGGAGGCGCACCGGACGTGCTCGCGCCCGCCGCGGAGGCGCACCGGACGTGCTCGCGCCCGCCGTGCAGGCGCGGGTCCGCGTCGCCGGGCCGCGAAGGAAGCTGCGTTCCGGTTGCTCTGCTGCTCGGGGGCTTCAGGCCTCACCGCGGAGCTCCCTCTGAGGCCCGTGCAAAGCGGGGCGCAGTGTTGCCGGTTGTTACCCGATGGCTGGTTGCGGCTCGTGTGTCTTCTGAAACCCGGGGCGCCCCCGCCGTGTTGGACAAGGTTCCGAAGGAAAGGTGTTCCGGCGCGGGAGGTCGCGTGCCGTCGGCAGGGAAACGGGAGCGCAGGAGCGGGGCCGGGGCCCGGGGACACTCGGCCGCACGGCAGAGCGACACCCCGGGAGGAGGCCAGTGGACAGTGGACAGTGGGAGGGCGAAGCGTGCCCCACACCGGTGCCGTGTCCTCCTCCGCGGCGCTGCGGGCGGCCGGGCACCGAGGTCAGCGGGGCTCCTGGATCGGCCTGTGTGTGACTCTGCACGGCCGGCAGGGGGCGCTCTGCAGGCCGGCCGCTGGGGTCCCGGACCCACGCGTGAGTGGGGTCGTCCCGGCTGGGACGTGCGCATCGTCCTGTTTCCTGTGGAGTTTGCGCTCCAAAAGCTTCCTCGTTGCCGTAAAGCCCCCGGACACTCGTGGGAAGTGGTCCTTCTGGAATAGCGCCCAGCGCACCGGCCGACGCTGAGTCCCCCACCCCTGGGCTGGGGGCCGTGCACGGGCCAGGGCGGCACTGTCCTGAGGGGCGCGACCTGCGGGGGCGCCGCTCAGACTCGCATGGGTGCCAGCACCTCCTGAATCCGCGCCATCTGTCAGGCGTGCCAGAAGCTTCCTGCAGCGAGAGCCACTCACAGGCTCGCTGAAGCCAAGTGCCCACGACACTCTCGTGCTGGCGGATCTACTTGCAAAACGACAAAGTGAAACAACAACAAAAGCCTTTTTATGAAAACACCACCCCTGGGTTTCAGAACATTCTGTTTCTTCTAAGAAAACAGCGGACCGAGGCGAGTGAGCATGGATCTGCCCGATGTGGGCTGCTCCCCAGACCACTGCCTGCTCTGCACCCCGAGAGCCGGTGCTGCGGGTCCCCCGGAATGAAAGCCTCAGCCTGCAGCCTGCGTGTGAGTCGGCGCTGACTCAGCCCCACCCGAGACCCCGCCCCGGGG